TATAAGTATTTAATAGCTAAATGGACTATGCAATTTAATTTCTCTTCTGTTTTATTATTAACATAAAATTTGATCAACCAAAATTAGGCTGAGTTATTCGTAGATTCCTGAAATAGTTAATCTCGCAAGATTTAACAATGAATTTGGCTTACATGCACGCATGTGCATACATCTGTTTGTTTTCTTTTTCCATTTTTCCATTTTTGTTTATCATAGTGTTTTCTTTGCCTTGAGAGTCCAAGCTGTTAACAAAAGGAAGTTAAATTAAAACTGAACTAGTTGAACAATAAGTAGATATCCAATATATTAGCAATTGATCAATCGATTGGGGGTCCATTCACATTTAAACAACGCTGTCAACGCTGTTGGGCTCATGATCTCGTTCTCGACCAGCGCGATCTCGAGATGCTGCCGCAGCACCAATCAGACGAGGCATCCCCGCTGCTGGCTGTTGCTGCGGTGGCTGTTGTTGCTGTTGCTGTTGCAGGACATGACGAGCTCCACCGATTCCAGCGGCGCCTGCATCGTTATTGTTGCGATGCATAAAGTTTCGTATATTCTCTTCCGTATAGTCGACAATACGACGTTTCTTGCGACGCGCATATTGCTTCTGCTTTAAATAGATTTTCAGCATGCCCTTTACCGTGATGAAGGTTAGACCCCCAAGCAGTGTGCGATGCAACGTGTTCTCAACTGAATCGAATAATATGCGACCTACAATGCACGATATTGTAGGCAACAGAAGAGCTCCGCAAAATATTCGCGTTGCGGAAACTGGATCAGAAAGTGCGGGCGTAGCTGGATTAGAAGAAGTGGGCAACTCCTCCTCCTGTTGATTGCTGCAAGGTTAAATTCCATTAGAGTAACCTTTGAGCTTTAGAATATATGAAGTACTCACAGGTTCGGATATATAAAATTTACAAAGGGAAACTTGCGCATGACGGTGCCGCGATTCCGTATCAAACGTAGTAGGGCATCTTCCCAGCGGATTAATCGGCCCAGTACCAGACCAACTGGTATTGCGGGCAGACCAATGAGTAGTATGAGCGGATCGCCAGCTTCCATTATAGACATGCCATGTTCATGACCAACAATCTGCATGCATCAATATTGTCGTGATAATAAAAGTTCTTATTATTAATAGACTCACCTGAAGGAACGTCACAGCTCCATAAGTCACTGCTGTCCAATATAAGGAGCCGACAAAAAAGCCGGCTGCTAGGAACGGACTCAATCGCTTGACCAGAGTGTCCATGGCTTCCAAGGCACCACCCAGTTTACCCATTTGGGGGAACACAATAATGTACTCGGTTTGGCATTGCGGGCAGGATACAGAGCGCAGCGAACTGCCCTTTTGTGTCTTTTCATCGATCCAGCGATACAGGCAGCTCTGGTGAACCCATTTTGTTGTGCCGCGACACTGGCAGGGCTGCACCCACGCAGCCAATCGATTATCTTCATCCGTCGCAAAGCAAATCCAACAACAACGTTCCGTATCGACGTTCAAGAYTTCTCGAGCTGTTGCTGCAGCTGCTGCTGCTGCTGCGGCTGCCGCTGAAGCAGTTCCCACCGTATACCGTTCGGTATTATCCAGTTGGGTAATTGTTGACTTTGATGTGCTTGGCACTGGTTCCATTGTGACTGTTGTGTGATCGACTGTTAAAAGTTCATTGCCGGCCTCTGTTTCGGTAGCAGCGTCGGCAGTGGGCGCTGCTGCTTTATCATCCATATCGCTGCAAGTTTTTCGACATTTATAGAAATGTGTATTTGTTTTCTTTCGCAATTTGGCAGGTAGCTATGATTTAACTCACATAGAAAATTTAAAAAACTCACTCGTTCAGAGTCTGCTTTCCTTACAAACCAAGTATTAAACTTAATTTTCAACTTTTTCTACAAAATCTTTCTGAAACTAAAATATATGTGAACTAGAGATGAAACCGTGCTAATATTTGTTTACTTTTTTCATACTCACGTGTACTAAAAATCTCTTTGTTAGTTTTAATATCAGAGCAATGATCAATTATATATATTATTTAATATATTATGACATTTCATAAAAATACAATCTATACATGGACTATATGTTTTAGCGCTCTCAAAAATTGTTAGAATAAAGCAACAAGTACTTATTTTCGGTATTGCAATTTACAACAATCAGACTAAAAATACTGAGCAATAGAGATGGGTAACAATCGATAAGTACATCATCGATTTCGTGAAATTTGGCCACCAAGGCCATTTTGAGTAACTCCTGTTCTACCATTTAGTAACTCATATGCCTTCAATAATTTTGAATGTATAGACATTATATGCTTATTGATGCAGTTTCCAGCAAAATTTTAATTAGCAAATATAATAACATTACAAAGAAAGCCCGGGTGTATATATCAATTTATCAATGAATCCCGTTGGCTTTACCGGACTACCAATCCGGCGACGGCATCTGCTGCTAGTCCAGTTCGCTGTTAGCGTTTTGTCGTCGCGTYGGTCTGCTCTGCACATCATCATCATCATCAAACCCTTGCATCAGCTGATTGAAGATATCGCCAAACATGCCACCAAGTCCAGAGGGTCCAGCATGCACCTGCTCTGGTTGCTCATCGAAATACGTCACTCCAATTTTCGTCAGATATTTCGTGAAGGACGTGTCGCGCTTTAAAGAAGGCTCATACAGTTTACGCAAGGCGCGAAACCCAACCACGCTCTTCGTGTCGATGAGTCGGAACAGAAAGTAAAGAAAATTGACCAGTGGCTCATTGTAGGGAAACTCATGCCTCAAAAGCTTCGGATGGTAACGTGTATACTCGGTGAACGTATCTTCAGCCGTTTTGCGATCCTTCAATGACAGCTGCTGCAGCACAGCTTGCACCAAAAACAAATCCACTTCTCTGTGAAAGCCCTTGCTCTGACTTATTTCAATCAGTACACGTCCACAGAGACTGCCGTCCTGACAGAGTAAATAATGATGACGCGCCGATTCAATGTTGCCTTCTGTCCAGAACACATGTGCTATTAGTTTGTGCAACACCGGATGTCCGAACTGACCATGCAAAGAGGTGCTCCATTTCACAACGCGGTGCTAAATATATTAAAATGTACATAAGAAAAGTTGAAAGTGGTTTAATTTTGTAGTATTGACATACGATCAGAGTCTCGCGCTCTACTGTAGTTGCGCTTAAGCCGCGTATTAATCCACCGAGTCGGGGCACCCATTCGAAATTGTCCGCGTCCTCTGGTTGTGGGCCACGCTTCTCCAGAGTATCTACCAGCAATAAACACAAGTCCGCAGCACTACTCTCCTGCTCTTTCTCGATTAGTTTCTGTGCACCGTCATATAGCAAATCTAAGCAGTCCTGGTAACGTTTCTGGGCCGTATAGCGAAAATATAACGTCCGATACATCATATGGGCTTCATAGAACTCTCCCTCCGCCAACGAATGAGACAGCTTTGCAAGTACGCGACTGACACCCCGCTGATTGGCATTCGAGCTACTGCTGCTACTGGCGCTGCCAACAGGTCTTTCGGCTTCGGCCGTTGTCATTTTAACGGTTAACTAAGAGTTCAGTACTGTTTTAAAATATATGTGTTTTTGTTGACGGAGGATGATTCTAAATTTTCTTCAATAATATAAGATTATTTATGGATGGATACTTTATGGTCAGACAAACGATTAGTATCGATAGCTCGGAAAAAGTGTGTTGCCACACCAACGAATATTTTCCTGTTCACCCAAACGAAAAAATCGGAGCTGTTGAAATTGCAGCAACAAAAACCACAACAAAACAATTGCAAAAATTCAACCCAATGGAAAGCGATGGAGCGGAAAAAAATACAAATGATGTTCTTGCAGCGTGCGGCGAGAAGCCCGACACCCATACTTTTCCATCGAATAAATGGGTGAAACTGAATGTGGGTGGAAAAATTTATACAACAACAATTGATACGCTCGTCGGTCGAGAACCTGACTCTATGCTCGCGAGAATGTTTCTACAGGATGGTGGTATGATGCCCAGCGAAAAGGACGAACAGGGCGCGTACTTGATCGATCGGAGCGCTCGGTATTTTGAGCCAATTATAAACTATCTACGCCATGGTGAATTCGTCTGCGATAAACACATCAGCTTAAAAGGCGTTCTAGAAGAGGCACGCTTCTTCGGTATCTACTCGCTCGTCACACACCTGGAGGAAAAGCTAGAACAGGAAGAACCACTCGACGATAGACCATTGACACGTATCGATGTGATAAAAGCCATTATACAGACATCAGCTATTACGGAGCTGCGCTTTCAGGGCGTCAACCTAGCAGGAGCTGATTTACGCAAACTAGACTTTCGGAATATTAATTTTAAGGTAAGGTGGCTGTACTATGTATATAACTATAATTTAGTAAAGTATAATCTCTTTGATTATTAGTATGCCAACATGTCGCGTTGCAATTTATCACATACAAATCTGAACTACTGCTGCCTGGAGCGTGCGGATCTTCAGTATGCAAACCTGGAATGCGCTCAATTGGTTTCAGTGCGGGGTCTTTGTGCCAACATGGTAAGAATCGTTCACTTATGCATATTATTCGGGCATTTAGTCGTGTCCAAGAATACACATATTTAATTTTAACCTTTTGTTATTGATCTCAGGAGGGCGCCAATTTACGTGGCTGTAATTTCGAGGATCCTACGGGTGTGCGAACCAACCTGGAGGGCGTTAATTTAAAGGGCGCTTGTTTAGAGAGCAGTAATATGGCTGGTGTTAATTTACGCGTAGCAAACCTCAAAAATGCAAATATGAAGAATTGTAATTTACGTGGCGCTTTGCTGGCTGGCGCTGACCTGGAACGCTGCAATTTGTCAGGTAGCGATTTGCAGGAGGCGAATTTACGTGGTGCTAACTTAAAGGACGCTGAGTTGACACTGATGGTTACGCCACTACATATGTCGCAGGCCATACGTTGATCTGAACGTGCCTTTAAAAGCTTAAGGAACATCACCATGTGCAATTATTATCAATATATATTCGGTCCTCGTATATGATGCTTGGTCTTAGTTTAGTTTTTGTACATACTTTATTTTGACACTATATACATATACTAAATAAAACAGTATTAAATACAATATTAAGTAGCTTTACATCAATATCCAAAGTTTTATATTTGCCGCATTTTGTTTGAATTCCCTTTCCTTTTCGCACTTAAGTCATTAATTTGCATCTATCGATATGTAAATTCATGAAAGGTGGCAGCACCACACAATAAAAAAATATCAAAATTATAAAGTTATCATTTACACAGGCATTTTTAAACAACTATAATTAAATTACAGAGAGGTTAAATGAAATAATATCAATAGTAATACTGTAATATCAGCCACCCATATCAATTAGAACGGTGCGAACTAACTAGTTCATCTGTTCCGCTGATTCAGTAACTCTTTTTTTGTACTCCTAACTCAACACTAGAAGTCTGATTGGAAGATTTGCTCTGATTTGCAGAAGAATTATGCTGAAAACGTGTCACTTAATTGTGGCATTGGCTGCCATAAGCCTATTAATTGCAACGCAAACTGTCGACGCCGACAAAAGGCAGAGCAAAAAATACAGCAAAGAGGCAAACAGCCCGCATTTCAAGCAGGTCATCGACGAAAAGTATGAGCCGGAAATTCGGAATCTTCAGCGACCTTTTCGTATAGCCAAACTAAATTTAATCTGGTCAAAGGCGCAAAGCGTAAGTCATAAGTAGTGCATATTGTTTCAAAAATATTTAAATTTCCTTTATTCTTGTCAGCGCTTGACTGAAACTAAAATAAAGTCTTTGTACATGGAGCTAAAAATCCACGATAAAGAGGAGATCGCGTGGAAACAGCTAAACTCGCAGCACAAAGACAAAGATGGACTAAAAGAGAATGAGCTACGTCAAAAGCTAATTGGAATCATGAGCACCTACGACTTGCTGGAACATTTTGAGGACACACAGGATGTGGAAAAAACAAAGCCCTTTAAGGTATGTTTGATGTCTTACAGCAACAGGTTGTAATAGTAATTCCGCTTTGTAGAAATTCCACGATCCCGAGGAAAGGCATAAAAATAAAAGTCTTTTCAAGGACAAGAAACTAAATCGTCTGTGGGAGAAAGCCGAAATTTCAGGATTTACAGCTGAAGAGATGAAATCCCTCAAGCAAGAGTTTGATCATCACCAGGACAAAGTGGATATGTATTACAGTTTGCTAGAGAACATTGGCACTTTGGATATGAACAACCATGAAAGTAAGTTTAAGTAAAGTTTAAAAGCAATCAAGTTGTTAACTTGTTTGTGTTAAAGATGCTATAAACACCGAAGATCTGGATACATACAATCTCATTTCCAATGATCCTAATGAAAATGAGATTAAGACGCATGAACAAAACGTGAAAAAGTTTGAAAGTGATATGAATACTCTGCGTGGACATCATGTTGGCATCAAAGATCACTATGATCGACTTGAGCGCTTGGTATCCACTGGCCCTCACAGCCAAGAGTTTATCGAGCCCAAGGTGCAGGGATTGTGGCGTGTGGCACAGGCCAGCAATTTCACTGACAAGGAACTAATGTCCCTGAAAACAGAGCTGCATCATTTTGAGAGTCGTCTCCTAAAGCTGCGCCATCTACATGCCGAGCATGCTCTGCACAAGGAGAAGTACAAGGTATATAATAAAATTACAATTTTAATTATATATAATTATAAGACTTGCTTCTTTTATTAGGATGAAAAGCACAGGGACAAGAGCAATCGGTTTGAAGATATAGAGGAGCAGCTAAAGAAACAAACGCGCAAAGTCGAAAAACTTCAGGAAAATATTGAAAATACTATTTTCAAGCATACTGAACTTTAAGTAATTCTTCGATAATGATGATCGTGCCAAATGAGCAAATTATTTGTAGACAAATATTTGTAATTTTCAAAGCAATTGCTTAGCTTAGAATTAGATTTACTAACCTTTTTGTACCAAAACTATTGCAGCTGAAATCGCACCTATTGTATAAATGAATTAAAAATCTCATGAAGTGGAAAATTTTCTCTGTGTATCTCTGGCGTTGCCACACTTAAGGCATTTGGTGTTGCTTGCGTGTGCATTTTTCATGTGAATGGCAAATGGAAAAATCGTAAATAACATTGCAACTGCAGCAGCTCTAGCGAAAACTATGTGAAAAATCAGTTGAAATTGTTTTAATTGTAAAAGTGCAATGCATTTAGTGACGTCCCATGGGGCAATAAAATCGTGTTCTTGTTATCTCTAAGCATACATAGCACATATGTATATATATAGATGTAGGCATGGTGGAGTCTAAAAAATTTGGCAATTTGGAGGCCTACACATATCTCCTTGTGACGCTAAATTTAACGCTAGCRCTAGTTGTAATGTTTTTCAATTGTCTGTGCTGCAAAAAAAGGATACCAAAGTGAGTAAATTGGACCAGAAGTTGTGACTTCCACCCAGGTACCAACACACTCGGACAGCGCTGCACTGCACGGGTGAAAGTTGCGTCCCAGTTCCAGTTGGATGCACGCGCGCCAAAAACATGAATGTACTAATTATATCCAATGTATATGCATTTCCACAGAAATGATATGCTCGGCCTCGAGGGCATGGTGAAGCTGAAGAACCCCGATGAAATAATTGTGGTCACTAGCAACAATGCAAATTCAATTGCGATTGCGGCAGCGACAAGCAACAGCCTGGTAAACAATAGTGAGTCACAAGCAGAGCTAAATGCCTCAACAGTCTCGAATGCTGACTCAGAAAAGAGGTGGGTGCTCAGCTGGTGTTTTTCTGCCGTTCCTACGCAAATGACATTCAATTGCATTAATTGTGCCTATTCCATTCCAATGGCAGATCTAGCACAGCGGCGCATCGCAGCTTGCCCGACATACCCGTGGCGGAGAGCAACGACAATGGCTCTGAATTGTATGAAACGGTTGCCGACAAGCAGCTGGCCAATGCGCATAATCAAAGTCGTACGTATACATCTCCCCTTTGTAAATGTGTACTAATCCCATATTATATTGTTTCGAGCAGCACAGCCCAGTTTGAAAAAGCAAACGAGCGTGTCGCAGCACAGCTCCATTAGCCAGGCGGATGATGTGAGCTCGCCGTATTCGCGTGTTAAGGGCTTGCCGCATGATTATGCCAAAGTGCGTGCCACCGAGCATCCATATGCCCAACTCAATGCACCGTCCACCTCCAGCTCAGCTGTAGCAGCAACAGCAAAAGCTTCCAGCAGCAAAGCTGCCTGTTCACAGCATGGAACCGACTCACTGCAGCGTGGCTCACAGCTCAACGGCGACTCAACACAGCACCTGAACGATGAGTCGACGTCCCAGGTAGAAATACCGGCAGCATCAGCTATTGCGGGCATGATTTCGGCCAGTCAGGATCTTCCTTATATGACGCCACCCATTGCAAATCAACATTTTAGTGGCGATTCACAAGACTCTTCCAGTGAGTGCATTCACATGGATTTTCTTATAGGCATATATTTATTTTTTGTATTTTTATAATTCGCAGAGGGCTACACGAGCATAAGCGTCCGCGAGCCGTTGGCCAATATTCTGGCCCAGCAGCCGCCAACTAAGCAGACGGCTAGGAAAACAACGCTGACGCGAGACGTTAATGACTCGCACTATGCAACTGTCTCCGACGATTCAGGTTAGTCATAAAGTGGATTATTTTTGAATAGCTGTGATCCAATCCCTATATATTTGTAGATGAAACCTATGCGGCTATTGAGGATCCCAATAACCGTCATATTCCAAACGCCACCGATATTTATACAAGCGGCTCAGAGACCTATGCACAAATACAGCCGATGCAGGCTAATCCCATCGTAGTGGCCGTTGAGATCAACAGCAGCAGTAGCTTGGCGGCAACGAGTGCTGCGGTATCTAACAGCGGCCCATTGAATCACAGCTCTGGCTCTGGGTCGGCACACCGAGTCAGCAGCAACAGCATGGATCACGCAGTGCCCGTTCCTCCGCATATGGACAGTCTGCGCGCACAAATGCATTCTCGGCAAGCATCTTCCTCGTCCTCTGTGTGCAATTTGGGATCGCCCAAGCCAGAGAAAAGACAGGCGAATTCACCGTTGCCACCGACGCCGAAGGCAAGTCTGAGTCAGTCGCAGGGCTTACATCATCTCCACTCAGCAGCGAGCAGTAGCAATCTTACATCCGGGCGCAGCTCTGTTATCTCTGTAATAGAAGCCGGAGGCGAGGGCAACATCGATTCGAATGATGTGATCAATACATCTCCACAGCGCAAGCACAGCAAGAGTCTAAGTCCATCCAAAGATGCTGAGGGCAATAGAAACATCGAGGGCATGTACGCCAAGGTAGGAACTAGACTGGTAGAGGCAGTCAGCCATATTATAAAGATTCTACTCTTGTTTTGCAGGTCATGAAAAAGCACAAGTTCTCCTCCCATCAGCCCGAGATGCTTGGGGTGAGTCCCTTGGATAGTGCGGCCGCGGCGCTTCTAATGGACTCACAAGCTCCAGGCGCTGACAAGAGTCGCTTACGCAGCAATAGCTATACCGCTAAGGATCACGGGTACGAGACGATACCCGCGGATGGCCAGAAGCAAGCGCAAAACCAGCTTCCACACGAGAATCGCAAGTCGGACTGCTATGCGGCTAGCATGCTGCAAAAGGAGCGCCAACAGGAAGCAGGTAATAGACTGCAGCCACTCGCGACCATCAATGCTTCCCAAATACTCTGTCTAACTACCTAATATGCCCAATTTGTCTCCTCTCTTATCTCTTTCCTTGTATCTGGTTTGTTTGTTGTTTCTTATTCCTTAACCCATGCCACAATTCAGTTGTTTTGCCAAAATGAGAAATTTGCGCGTTTCGACACTTTCGTCAGTTCTTGTTTGGAACTGGCTGTGGTTAGTATGATTAGAATAGAATAGGATTACGCTTCTTAGGCATACAGCTTGAGCTCTTCTATACTTTCGTCAAGCCATATATCATTCGATGTACTAACATTTTCATTCCTTGTATCGGTTGTAGCAGCTGGGGGTCAGACGCATCCCAACAACAGCAGTAGCATCAGCGTTCAGGTTAAATCTAGTTCGCCCAGCACCAGCACAAAGCACTACGAGACTATAAACTGCCCACCGTGTCCGAAACCAAACAGCAACGATCCTGGCTACGAGCAGCTGCAGACGGCGCCCAACGATGATGATGCAAAGAAGTCGGACTATGATCCCAACTATGAGGTGCTGAAGAGTCGCGCCCACTCTGATGACGGCTATGCCAAAGTGCTGGAAAAGAAGCCGCCGCCCGACGATGTTGTGGATAGCAGTGGCGTCTACAGCACCATACCTGGCGCCGATGCGAATCACAACTATGCCAGCATCTTGGAGACAAAGGCGCATCTGGTAGCGGTGCCCAATGAGACGGATCACTATGCACGCATTGCGGAGACCGTGACGCTCGCGTCGCCCCTCACGCCCAATTCATCGTCCATGGCGAACAGCTTGTCCATGATCACCGTGACCACCAGCACCAGCATGAGCTCACAACAGACGGTCAGCTCCTCGCAGTATGAATCGCTGACAGGCACGGGCAGCGAAACAGATCCCAACTACGAGTCGGTTTGCTATCTAAATGCCACAACAACAACAACAACCACAGCGACGGCATCGACAACAACCAACAACAGCAGCAACAACAGCAACAGYAACAGCAGCAGCAGCAACATGGATCACGGCTATGAGCGCCTCGAGTCGGACAACAATACGCAGGCGAACAGCCCGCTGAGTACGCCCAGTGAGCAGCAGCTGGTGGTGGATGATTACTTTCAGGTGTAGCTATAACAACAGTGGGGCTGCATGCCGTAGAGAGCTGGATCTCGTTGAACTATATTCACAAAGCACACACACTTACATACAGACACAGACACAAAGAGACGCACACACACACCCTAGCATTTTGTTTTGCTTAGCAATAGTTTTTATTTTTCTTAACGCACATATCACATTGGATGCACAGCAGCAAAGATGGAGACAAAGAATAAATCTTGGATAAGCGTGTGTTGCATGCGTTTTATGCAGCTCCATATCGGCTCGCACTTTAGACCTAGTCTAGCACTAAGTTATATAAATAGCATGAACTTTATGTACAAAGTATTTGTATGTTAAGCTCGATAATACGTGCAAGCGGCGTATAAGCCCATATGCTCTCATGTCTTATATCTACGTATATATCTATATACATATATATAGGTATGTACGGCTACATACTATATAATACAAATACCAGTGCGTCCTATTTTATTTAAATTGAATGCAAGAACAAAGGCGAGGCGATTTCAATTGATTAGAGCCACGCAGATAAAGCAGAAAGAGATATTGAATAACGCAAAGAAAAACAAAGTCAGCAAATCGAGGGAAGATAACTATATTATAGATTGTATATTTTTTATATGTTGGCATTTTATTTGCTGCTTTTTTACTTTATTGATATCGCCTGGGCATACGGCCGCATATGTACATATGTATGTGCAGCCCATTAAATATGATTATACATACAAACATAATGTAATACTGGCAGACAGGCCACAACAATGTTAAGAGTAAATTAAACCCACACAAAAACAATTGCAAGTATTCAAGCCACAAAAATAATTAAGCTAAAAGTTGAATAAATTATTGATTACTGTCAGCTGAAATGTTTTAATTTTTACAAATGGAAAGCTGAAAATGTTAAAAAGTAACGCTGAATGGGCCAATGGAAACAATTTGTGTATAGGATATTGATATATTTATTTGTATTTATTATATAATCGCATTTGCGTTTTACAGTAGCACAAGGAACACACTCAAGACTACACGTGCAACAAGACTGTGTGTACATAGATTCATATAACATATTACGAGCATCAATTGCAATTGCAACCACATCGAGCACAATAGTTCAGTATATATATATATGTGTGTGTGTATGTGTATGTGTATATACCTCTGTCAGTATTTGAGAGATTATTTGATTTAGCTAAATGCCGGATGCAGTCAGTTGGGGCCGGCAGCACCGGAATCCACTGCCGTCACCATATCTGTGCGCGCCGCGTCCGAATGCTTCATGGTGTTGGCGATGCGAGATCGCACCAGCCACACGTAGTAGATGAACGCGCACAGTACAAACTGTAGGAATATGTATTGATAATCAATGATCAAGTTACACCTATGAAATCTTAACGATGAAACGCGCCCGACAAGCGCCGAAACAGCCGCTTCCACGTTTCATTCATTCATGCCGTCGGCTGSCTGTGCCATTGCCGCTGCGTCCAAGTCGACGCCAGCAACCGCTGGCAGCTGTTGCTGCAGCGGCATCATAAGCATTGCCTGTGGCGGCGCTGGCAATGGTTGCTGCTGCGCCTGAGCCAGGAATGAGGACGGCGGCAGCGGCGGCGGTTGGCTGGCGATTGTCTGCTGCTGCTGCTGATGCTGCTGGCTCTGATCTCGATTCAGCAGCGCAATGTTACTAGCCTTCATGCGGGCTATAGAGGTGGCCAGGCCGCCTCCCATAGCCGATAGGCACGGTGACATACAAGGTGTTGAGCATGATGAATTGCTGATTTCACACTGGTCAAGTAGGCGGAGAAGCTCGTTTGTGTCGGGTCCGCCTGAAGTTTTCTGCTGCGGCTCATCCTTTGAATGCAGCGCCAGTGCTGTAGTTAGGTCCCACATTTGTATCGCGCCATTGCAATGGCCGGTGAGTATAAAGCGTGATCCCATTCGTGAGGACACCTCACACTCGTGCACACAGAATGCCGAAATGGTCGAGCCATCCACAGAGCGTATGACACAGACCCGCTCTCCATTCGAGGCCTGACGCACATACAGCTGATTCGTCTCGGGCACCACCTTTTGCACGAATATCATGTCATCGTAGTCGCCGTAGGGGCCGAAATCATTGCCCGCCGCATAGCTATAGTTGCTATCGATCGCTTCCAGTGAGACAATTTTGAAGGAAGCCTCCGGCGTGGAGCCCGGCTGTGTGGAGAGCATGCCGCGAAAACGCGTCAGGCTCCAGGTGCGTACATGATGGTATTCGCTGCACACCGAAACTAAATAACGCTCGGACAGCATGACCTATGGGAGGACCGAATGATTAATATTGAGACTTCCTTGAGCATATTCAATCAAGTCTTGCCTTTGTTATGGGGCTCTGATGCACAAAGAATGTCTCGAATAGATGTGGACCATGCCCGGCCGTTTCGGGATGCTGGACAATGATGCGCACTGCGCCCGATTTGGTGCCGTAGGCGATCTCTATCCAGTTGCCGCTGAAATTCGACGTCTTTGGCGTTAGATAAACGGATATGGCTGTGATGGGGTCCATGTTGACATCCTTATACAGTTCGGTAACCAGCAAATCGTTGTCCTTCATCCGCAACGGAAACTTTTGCATGTCTTCAGAAGAGATCATTTGTTAAGAGAGGCGTCTCGCTTCGGCTCAACTACTCACCTATATAGTATATGGAGCCGTTGTTGCAGCCGAGCAACAAGAAGGAGCCTGCTGAGTCAAAGGAGAGCACTGGCACCAGATCTTGTATCTGCCAGTGCTGCGTCATGGCATGCCAGACGCCAATTTTGCCAGAGGAGGACAATGCCACCAGTTGGCTGCCAATGAAGAACAAGTACTCCACACGCACATTGAGATTGAAGGTGCCAATGTCGGACTTGTGGCCACCCTCTTGTATGCTCCACAAGCGTATCTGGCTGCCATAGGAAATGGCAATCATTTTACTTGGCATCGGCTCGGCCGTAGATGTGTTCACCTTGGAGTTAATGGCGATGCGCTCGATGGCTGCATCGATGTGTGGCGAGGTGAAAACCTGTTGCCAGCCATTGGAGTCCTTGACCCGATAGCAGGTGACGAAATGCGCATAGGCCACCGCAATCCAGTTCTGATGTGCCTTGATGATTTGCACGCGCAGCGGGGGCGTCCAATTCGAGCTCTGTGTGGGGCTAAATACTAGGCCCACTTCGTTCCGTATCACCTTGTTCAAGTCAGCCGACGAGTTGCGTGAGTGGCGCATAAAGTCCAGTGAAGCGTTGCGCGAGTGTCCACCTACTGGATTCCACGCGGCTGGCGGAGCAACAGGTGCTGCATTGGAGCTGGAGGCGCTGTTCGACGCGCGTCCACAGCGCAGATCCCACGATGAATTGCGTGAATGCGACGACGAGTGGCGCGAAGAGGATGACGAGGTCTCTGGCACCCGCACCATGGAACCAGGTCGTGCTGCGCCCGATGAAGTGGGCAGGGGTTCCATGGGACTGCTTGTTGAGGCAGTCTCCACAGTGGCCTGCAACGCATCGTTGGGCGGCATGGCGGGCGCCGCGAGAAATCCATAGAAGAGTACATCTCCGCACGAGGAGTGATTCAAATCCTCGCACAAGGCCAGACGCTTGGTCAGTGGTGTAATCCCATAATACTCGGCCTCATGACGCAGAGCACGAATCTCGCAGTTCTTGATGTCAATGTCTTTGGTCCGCAAGTAATTCAAAATAATGGAGAAGAGCGTCGGATCGCGATCAATGAAGATGGCGTTGTGCTCATCTCTCAAGCTCGAGATGCGGCCACTGAGAAGTGCCGTAAAGAAGGTGTCCGGTATCCACGTAAGCGTTTGCCGTGACGTGGAGAAGCTGCAGGTCCATTGAAAGGGGAGGAGATAGTGACACAAAAAGATGGTTAGAGGGAATTTTTCTACGATTTTTTTTTTCTTGCATGCGTCATCAAAGCTAACGGTTATTTTGTTTCACTCACCGTTGACCGCCCACATTGAGATTAACCAAATCACTGCTTGCACTGTGCATAAAGTAGGACATGCCAATAACTATTTAACAGCTGACGCCGCGGCGGCAGCAGCGTCCACAACACAATTCAATAATCTTTTTATGTGGCTTCGATTTGTTGCCGCCGTTCGGGGCCTGCTGACTGCTGACCCGTTGGCGACTGCAACTGCAGTGACAACGACTGTTGCTGTTGGCTTCTGTTGAGCGCTGCGCAGCGGGCAGAACTTATAATTCGTTTAAAATGAGACGACGGCCACTTTATTTTTGGAACTACGTTTTCTTTTATTTGCTTCAGCTGCACCACTATACATAAATTCTATACATACACTTCTTCACCCACATACGCACTCGTGTACATATGTGCAAACGCTTGTAAATGCTTTGGAGTGAGTGTTTTTGTTGACGTTGTTGCTTATCGCTGCGAATGGTACACAACATTGTTGCGGACATCTGGCAACGCCGCGTGGCGCTCACTGCATTTCAAAGAACCCAGCAGGAAATTTGAGCCTGAACTAAGCTGAATTTTGAATGTGAGCATAGTCCCGAAACTAGGCGAAAATATAAAATCTCGTTTTTGTATCGATTTGAAGTACAATATAATTAGAAAACATATAATGATTTTTTACCAAAACACCAGAACAGAAACTCCCTAGTTTAAGGTCTATTAAGAATGCTGTGTAGAAAGTGCCACTCCGTCATATTTTAGGGCTGTCACGAAAAATGCTAATTCAGCAGATTTTTATGGTCTCTGTGCATTTTAAGGTCGTAGGGAAGACGGACAAGCAGCGCATAAACCGCAAGAGGCGTGGCAGACCATCGTTGTGGGTGGCTCGCACATATGGCGGGAACGAACCGACAAATGATAACGACACTCGCGCAAACAACAATAAAGGAAAATCGAGTAAATGAAAGAAATAACGGTGGCAAAATGTGTAACAAGTAACAAAACGCACGCACACGCACACGCACACTAGCTGCCTGCTATACCCTGCCCACCACCTTCCGCCCCTTCCCTTATAGCTCATCGGTTTGTTTGGATAAGAAGCTTCAAGCGCTAACCAAATGTGAGCAAATGTTTAGCTGTGCGTGCTTGGATGTGTTTGTGTATGTGCGTGCGTGTGTGTGTGTGTGCACAGCATATTAAAGTGAGCCAATTTTCGCGCGTTTTCTGCTAATACATTTTGCTTATGTGCGGTGTGCTCCGAAGTTGAACGAGTTTTTGCATTAATCATAAATAATATACATACATGGAGCACCAGATGAACTAAAAACGTCGTGATGAAAGCACATTGCCATATTACACATTCGATATTAATAATGAATATTGCAAGATAAATTTCTTAAATACAGTTCCTTTATTGTTGGCTCAATGAGCTAATACACTTGATATCTATTGCACAAGATATAGACAGAAAAAATATACCACAATTCAAGGCTTCTTACTATATGTGAATATAGTTAATGCTTTAATTTATCTTGCTATTTACTAACTTTCCACAGCTAAAGTAAATATATAGAGTATCTGCCCGTCGGTCTTTCAAACCCTTTCTGATTTGACTTGTCGCTTACTTTGATAAAAGCCGAAAAAGAAAATGTACAATTCGTTTGGATATACACACAGATGTCCATTCACAATTGTATTTGTATTTTTACGCAAGTTCATATGTACATATGTATATGTAGATTTATCTGTATTGGCCACATACGCTACCTTAATGCGCCGGGTGTTAATTGTTAATCCTTGTTGACACCCTTTTTTCTTTTTTTGCTGAGCTTTCCAGTTTGTTTTTTTTGTTGGCTGGCTAGCGCCAGGCTTAATTCTTAAATGGCGAACGCTCTTATCTGGCCTCTTGTGCTGTGTAATGAATTGGATGTGTATATGTATGTATGTTTGTATATATATCTATATGTATACAAATATATATATTTGCAAGAGTATTTTGACTGCTGTAGCCATTATCAAAGGCCGCTCCGCACGTGCTGCCGTTGCTGTGGAGCGGCCTAATGATTAATTACAATTTAATTTGTTTGCCATTTCGTTGGGCTCTCGATATACAGTGGTTCGCAAATGAATGAAATGAGCATTGTTTAAAGTGTAATGCGAGTACTGAGTGTATTTTTATAGGTCCCACAGTACATTGCGCTCAAGGGTTCAGATCGAGTTAATTGTTTTTTCATTTTGTTTTCATTTGATGGCGCCTTGCCTTTACCATTGTTTGCCTCCCCCGTCAAAACATACTAAATTGCTGGAGCCTTTTTGGCTTATAAAGCATCGCTTTCTTTTTATCTTTTCTTCAATGGGAATACTTGAAAATTTTTAAACGCACAAAATGGAGCCACAATTCAATTATGATCCTCAAATAGCTCATCATTTACCGTCTTTTGCAAAAAAGGAGAGAACAACAAAAAAAAAAAAAAAAAAAAAAGAAAAAACAGTTGAGAAATGAGTTGTACTTTGTGTTTGGTCTAACATGAAATTAACTCATTCGTTGCGGCCTACGCTAACAAAAGGCGCAACGCATACACACAAAAGACACACACATAGAAAGACAGGCGCCCTGAGCCTGAGGTCAAGCGACGCCATTTTTCAGACAGCCAAACAAAAACTTTGCTTCAAGTGCTTCTTGCAATGCCATTATTAAATGTGTGTATGGGTCTGTGTATGCCTGTGTGTGCTTGTGTTGGTGTAGCACATGCTATTCCCGCAAAGAAAACATAAACAAACGCCCACACACAGCACACTGCGTGGCGTAAAAGCTTCCAAACGTGCCAACAAAACTATGTCACGAAAGCTTTTACGCGTAACTTAATGAGCATTGTCTAAATGCGATGACGACCGTAGCAGGCGCAACAGTTTTGAGGGAGTGCGCAGCACGGCAACACTGGCCGCTCTCACAGCATGGCACTCTCTCTTTCTCTCGCTCGCTCTGCCTGTCACTCTCTCCACGTTGGAGCAACAGTTAAAGGCGCTGTTGCTCTCACCCTTCGCGCGGCCCAGACAAAGCCTTGCCGCTATGCTGCTCTACCTGAAATCGTTACCCATACAGAAACTTCTATCTGTGTGTCAGTCAGTCAGTGCAGCAGCAGCGCTGCCAGCGTCGTCTCTGCGTGTCTGCTTGTGAGTGTGTGTGAGTGTGCGTGTTTGTGTTTTTGTGTTTGTATCGCTGCTTGGGCATCCAGGACCTACTGCGCTTTGTAGGCCGTTGGCGTTTCAGTGCCTGGATTCCTGTTGCCCAGTTCACATCGTGCCAAGCGGAGTCCGCGTGTGGAGCAGTGTTGTAAAAGTCGCGAAGTTAAGTACCGTTTAATTTTTGTATATTTATGAAATGGCTGAGCGCGTATTCGTATGCGTGAGCCACTCTTTGTAGCTGCAGCCACGTGCGCCTATTACAAAAGAATACAAAAAAAAAAAAAAAAAAATGTTTCTAAATCCGAAGAGATGAGATTTTTGCGTTAAGTTCGTGTATCATAAAAAATACAGCAAAATAAAAAAAATGCAACAACAACAACCACAAGAACTGGAGCACGTTTATGGGGCAATAAACTTTGTGTAATACATTCAGGAATTGGTATGTCCTAGAGTGCGTACACTCAGCCACCACCACGTATTCATAATTAAATGTAAACTAACATAATCACAAGAGCAAAATAAAAGCGAAAAGAAAAAAAAAAAAAAATAATAAAAAAAACTTGAACATCGATATTCAATTATGCGTGCCCTTGCACATTTTTCCCATTTTCCACGCCATCGCACAATGTAGTAGTCGCATGGCACCTCGGCTTGCCCGTCCACTGCTCACCGCCCTTCTCTGGCTGGAGTCGAGTTTTTGGTCCACTGTGAGATGTCTGCTCCAGCGTACATCCTTTTAGGTGTTTTAGGTTTGTGTGTCTGCTATGTGCTCTATCTGCTTTTGCTTTCATCTTCAATTTCCGTTGCGCACTCGCGCTTTGCCATTCCCATGACCGTTGTCGCTGGCGACGGCGTCTTTTGCACATAAAATGCCAAAGAAAATTACAACTTATTGAGTTGCAAAGCGCGCACACACAAGCAACAGGAGCTCGCACATACACACGCACATACGCAAACATACACAGAGACATAGTGGCCCCTCGGGTGCGTGCCACAGTTTGCGAATTTGTCTTTAGCATCGCCAGCTTCTCCATTTGCATGCCTTGACGCAAGCCGTCTGCATCTACCAATGTGTGTGTGTGTGTGATACATATGCTGAAACTTATGTGACGACTGCCCAAGCTCAGTGATAGTAGACAGACGCTGCTGGTTAATCTGCAACCGCACTCCTGACCACCAGGTTGGGTGCCTGAGTTCGTTGACTTGACAAGGAGTCTAAATACAAGAGCTTAAATTATTAAATATTTCAAGCTTAAAAATTGAATCCGAATATTTAATAATTCAAACCAAGCATCAATGTGCCATATACCTATATACAATACATATAGCATAAATATATCCCTATAAGCACTTTTATATCTATGTAGATATGGTGCTTATCCAAAATGCTTTGCTTAGTAATCTAATCTCAATGTCAACAATCTGGCAACTCTGTTTGCCTAAGTCATTAGTGCAATAGCTACTACTATTTTGATGCGGTCTACTACGAATTGCGTATGAAAAGTACCTTTTTGTGCAGTTGGCGCAGTTGATGCCGCTGCTATTACCATGTTTGTGCCTTTTGCAACACGTTGCCATTAATACGTACTTCCCTTGACACTTGTGAGCCAATAAACTTGAAAAAAAAGAGCAACAGTTGCGGCACACTGACTTACGGCACACACACGTGCACAAGCGCCTCACACACACACGCACACATACGCATTAGCCGAACGCGGACTTCGTTCTTCGTACGAGCTGCTGGCTCGCGACTCGCCTCGCATTGGCAACATCCAAACTTTGTTGAGCCGCACATAACGCAGATGTCCTTTGCCGTGGCCGCCTCGCTTAGTCGTTCAGTCGCTTAGTCGCTCAGCTTGTTCGCCAGTCGCGCCGGCTTTTCACGTAGCTAACGGGACGTACGTAAATTGTTTGTTGGGCTGAGAAACGCTTGAGTTGTCGATGGCACGCATGCTGTGATATGTTAATTTTCCTCTTTGGCAACACTTAGAAAACAATTAGTGCCGTTAGTTTGGGCGTGTTACGCCCCCGTGCGCTACATGAACGTGCTGTTCCTGCTTTTCCCGCTGCAGCCAAATGGCAAGTGAAAAGTTTTAATTGTCTGCGTATTTTCATTGAGAAACTTTCGCCTGTGTGTGCTCAGATGTGTCTATGTGTGTGTGTGGTTGTTGCTTTTA